GTCACCCGGGCTCAGGCTGCCCTCCGTTAATTCCCACATACTGCAGTCCTCACCACATCACCTGCCACATCATTCTCTCCTCTCTCACTCTGTATTTTAGGGTTTTTTAAAAAAAGTTTTTTGTTAGTTTCTCGTTAGTATTTTGTTAGTGTTTTTGTTATATAGTTTAGACTAACAGAAATGTTATATAGTTTAGACTAACAGCAATAATCCCTCAAGAAAATAAAACAATAATAAATTGGTCACTTCAAATCACGACTGTTTGTGGGACACTGCTGTACGCAATTGGCTGCCGCATTTCACCCACAAATATACAGTCAACTCACTTTACATTATATTCTGTGAAACGCTTTGAGAGGTCTAGAAGACTTGATAAGGCGCTATATCAAATGCAAAGATTATTATTATTATTAATGTGTTTTTGTTATTATAAAATGTGGAATAGCTTAAGATTGAGAAAGTAAATGTGGAGCAATAGAGAGTAATTAACAGCTTGAATGGTTTGCCAGGAATGGTGTAGAGGTCAGGCCATTGGACTCATTAAAGAAATAGCATGATTCTCTAAAAACGGGAAGACATTGTGAAAAGATAACAATTGGGGCAATGGGAATCTTATGATATTTTCTCTCTGTCCCTACTAAGTGGAGAAGGTGGTTAGAGCTGCCTGGTTTAGGACTTCTACCAATATCTAGATGTCAATATTTACACGAAATTAACCTGAAAGAACTCACATTTCCACTTTCTATCCTTTCAGTGTGGCCTCACTCTGTGCCTGGCAGAAAAGCAGTGAACTCACCATTTCATATGACTCTGCAACTTGGAATCCCAATACATGGCAACCTGCCTGCCACATCACTCTAATTCTATACTCATTGATTGAATCTTTTAGCACCATCAATAGATCAAAAGACAATAAGTAAACATTGTGATTTGTTGTGATGTGCAGGCACAATGAGTTGCAGCATATGTCAGAGTTTTGAAAAGACGAGGCATTTGAAAATTATGTGCCACAATCATTGCATTGGCACAATCTTGATGGCATTATTTTTATATTACTCGGCATTCTCAACAAAGCATGGTTACTGCTGGAGCTGGCATTGATTTTAATACCACCTGAATAACATCTACTATTTTTAGGAATATTCAGAAGCTGCCTTTTATCGATATTCTGAGTTACTTTTGATTCACAGCTAAATGTGCAACAACCCTAATAATTTAAACTAAATTGACATTCAAGCCATTTCCAAGAGCTGAAACACCTCTGAAAAGCACTAAAAGCCAACCTGACGTAACTGTCAGGGGACAATTAAACCATCCTCAAATGCCATTTAGCATTCTATGGGACTTACATATAATAATGTTTCATTTATTTACACTTACCAGTAATTACTTATGCAGCACTTTGAGATGTTTTGACGTGATAAGGCACTACACAAATGTATGTTCTTTCTTCAAAATGAGCACTGTAAATATAGTACTTAAGGGCTAAAAGTTAAAAATATATGTAGAGCTTGCTTAATGAACTTTATAAAGCCAGGCTTCACTGGCTCCCTATCATCGAAAGGATCGACTTCAAGATCCTCACACTTGTGTTCAAATCCCTTCACTCTCTGGCACCTCCCTACCTCTCCGACCTCCTCACACCCCAAATCACCAACCGGTGCCTCCCCTCGACTGGCACCGGCCTCCTGCTCGTTCCTCGTACCCTCCGCCCCACCACTGGTGGTTGTGCTTTCAATCACTAAGCTCAGAAACTTCATCAATCCCTCTGCCTTGCCCCCCTCTTCCCTTTATCAAGTCCCACCTGAAAGCCTTCCCCCTCCACCTCAACCGTGCTTACGGCCACCTCCACCCCCTCCAACCGGCTCGGAGTCAGGCTCTGCCACTGTTAAGTGCTCTGAGACACTACCCTGCTTGGAAGGCGCTATACAATTGCAAGTTGCTGTTGTAATTCTAATAAACTTGCATCGTTTCTTACTGTCCTGAATGGAATCATGTCTTCGTCTTAACAAAAATATTACTTCCAATGATTTGGAGGTACATTACACATTGCTGAAATATCCCATCCCAATGATCACATTTGGGCTTTTAAACCCCAAAATATACCTTAATTCAACTGTGGAGAGCAGTATTTTGGACAAAACTGTCACCCTGTCATTATCTGGTAGCTAATGGAAGGAAAGCAATGCCAAGGTTTGTGAGCTTCAGCCATACAATATTGACAGGATAAATTGGGAATCAGATGGGCCAAGGATTCTACACTTCAAATCAGCTTTTGCACTTTCATTGATAAGATTTGTCTAAGAAATTTCCGAGCATGTGGAATGTGTGCTCCGTTTATTCTATTTAACTGTTCCAGCTACTAAATATATTTATTTGGTTTAATTATGTCAGCTCGTAATAGTTTCATTTTCTAAAATGGACTAGGAGGTAGCAGACGATGGCACAGAATACATTGTACATTAAATATAGTGGACTTGTCGCTGGTCCAGAAGGCAAGGTTCAAGTTTATAATTGCTTATCTGAATCGCATTCGTACCTTTAAAAATAAGTTCTGAAAGATCTTTGTAATCTTTGTCAATATTCCAAATAAAGATTCCCGCTGCTTGTCCAGCTAGGACCACCCGACCTGTTAGGGTTTTGGCTTGCAAGGCTAGCGAGAGCTAAATGGGAAGAATCCCTGCTCCCGGTGATTGATCTGTCCTTCCATGTTTTGCTGATGAGCCAGGCTGGCTGGTCTGTCATCAGCAGGACCCTGGAGTATTGCAGACCCACCTGGCGCTGGAATTGGATTACTGAGACTGTCATAGAGGATTGACTCGATTCTGACATTCTGTTGCCAAGCACATCATCTTGGAAGCAGGTCAGCTTCAAGAAGACCCCGCTTATCTCTCTGCATACCAATTAAAGCAGACACCAAACTCTGGATATATGAGTGTGTTTACAACTCTAGACTCTAGCTACTGCTTTTCGGAGTGGTGGAAGGAATTATATAGGACAGTTTGTGATGTGCCAGCACTTGATGTTCTAGAGGTCCAAGTCCAATGTTGTATACAAGGTGTATTCAACACCAGCTGCTTTACCCCAGATCCTCAGGTGAGAGACTTTGGCAAAGAGATATGATGCTCGCTTTCAAAGCTCACACATGAATGGTTACTCGAGTGGCTATTGTGGAACCTTGCCTCAGGAGAACGAAAAAAAGTCCAATGCCTTCATGAGAATGGAGAAAATTGGAAGAAAACAATTGTTAAAGCATAATCCTACTTGTTTGTCGTGATACTGGTGAATTAAACAGCATGCATTCCTGCCCCCAGCAATTTGACCTGCTGCTTTTGTTGGCATGATTGGTTAAACTCTCTCTCTCTCTCTCACTGTCTCTCTCAACACACACAGCATTAAGACATAAGAACTTAAGGGTTGTGAAAATTACTTTTCACCTATTTTCAATTACGTTCTCTGCTCCAGCTTGCTTGATTTACTTTGAAGAAATGTCCTGCATTTTTCAATCATTAACAATGTTAAATAATGTTTAACATTAACGTTGTAATTCCATGAAATTTCTTTTTCTAAATTCCTTTTTCCAGACCGTTTCTAATCCTTCTTCACAGCTCATTCGCGTGATTGCATTGTGGGGTTACAATGACAATCGCTGTAGGCAGATCATATTGTCTTTGTGAAACAGTTGCTGCTTTTTAGAATTCCTCCAACCGGCAAGTGCTGTGTGCAAATTAGCTGCATATGTCCACACTTCACAAATAACTCTGATTGAGACGTTTGACATTAAAGGCACCAATTCAAAAGCAATGGTTATTATTAAGACTACAAATTACTGCGTTTAAAAAGGGTCTGACTGTCGTGGGTTCAGCCCACTTGAAACAAAAAGACATGGCAGGTGCAGCAATCAGAGGCGTTGCCCAGCTTACTGCCTTGAGTGGCAGGAAGGACCTTTACTGTATACAAAGCCATAGACAAAACATTATAGCCTGAAATAATAATAATAATAATCCTTGCCTTGTCACAATGCTGAGACTTCTCAAAGTGCTTCACAGAATATATTGTGAAGTGGATTGACTGTGTATTTTGTGAGCGAAACGCTTATGATACAGTAATAAATAGTTCAAGATTGAACGATTAGAGGGCCTCTATCTGAAATGCCATGGTAGATACCAAGCAGTCACTATGTTATATGGCTATTTTTAAATCTTCAGGTGGTTGCGACAGTAAATTGTCGTCTTTTGGTGGAGGTGATAAGTTAATTACCCTTGTCAAAAAACAGACCGTAAAGAGCATCAGCGGAGAAGTAAGGGAGCTCTGTGAGGTTGTTCAATTCACCTGGGAGAATGTTGCAATAATCTGTTTTAAGAAGTAAGCATACAGCACACATGCATATTCTATTGTTCTGATCATAGTAATAAGAGAACACTAAGATTTGATTTGTGTTCACGGCACACTGTAGAGAGTGACAATTATTACTAGCCACTGATTAAAGGAGAAACGGGAATTACAAGGTTGATTAAGTGGAGCTAGAGCTTAGAGAGGCACACATCTTATTGAATTTATATTTCTGTCGCTAGTTCTGATCTTATCGGTTCATTTAACAATGTGAAAATATTCCACTGGACGCTCACCCAGGTTTGTGCAATACAGGAATACAAAATAAGAGTTACACACTGGGTTTATATCTGAGCCCACCTAAATGGTGTGTTTTATTACCTCAGTTTGATGATTGTGAAGTCTAAAAGGTAACAGGAATCATGAAATACCGTCAGGTACTGGTAACCAGAAATATGGCACACCAACCAGCAGGAACTCCCCTCCAACATGATTGACTTCCAGAATCGAGTCTCAGGTTGACGTGATGCTTTGCTAATTACTCTCAGTAGTTGTTGCTTGTTTAGATCCACAAGTCCATTTTAATATAATATTTACAATCCTAATTGCTGTACAAGGTTCACACATTAAAGATTAAGTTATTACTAAAAGAGTTTTTCAAAGCTTACCTTGCCCACGTACTGGGGATCTGACCCTGTGTACTCCTCAAGCAAAAAGAATTGGTTCCACATCCAGCCTCGTTTGGAGCGGTGCAGCACAGACATCTTCCCATCAGTAGATCCATTGTGTTCCAGCTCTTCAGTAGTCCTTTTCAATAGTGGGGATAGGTGGCTGGGCTCTGGCAAACAGACCCAGAGCAGCAGTAACACCCAGCAGCTGGACCTTGACATTGTCCCTCCTGAGCTGATAGCCTCAGAGTGTATCAGGGCTTTATTGGATGCGCTCCAATTATCAGTCAGTCGGCTCTCTCTCGCCGGCTAGCCTTTTGTTCCATTTGCAAATTGCAGGTTCTTCAAACTTTCTGCAAGCTGGCTGACACTTAGATTCTGGCAATTTCTAGAAGCAACAGGAAATAACAAGTTTTTAATATTAAAATAGAAAGCATTTAGAAATAAATCTTGAAATGTATTGTAATTAACTAAACTGGTAATAATGAATATAACATATCACCCTAGTGATATGTTATATTCTTTGTTACATTGGCACAAGGATTAAAACAACAAATTGCAAATTGCATTTGTATAGCAGCTTTCATGTCGGGAGGACAGCCCAAGGTGCTGGATAGTCAAACGTTTGTACCTAAACTGGGGATGGAAATAAAGAGGGGTGGAGGTCAAAGGGGAGTGTGGGTGGGAGGATAACTGAAGGAACTGAAGGTCTTGAGACGAGCTTTGAAGAAGGCAAGGTAGGGGTAAGTTGAAGGGACTCCTGGATTGGAGTTCCAGAGGGTGGGGGCAGAAAGGCTGAAAGCTCGGCCGCCAACGGTGGGACTGGCAGGTNAAAAAAAGCATACCACACCTGAGGAGTAGGTGGAGGTGAATTACAAAGTGCTTTCTCATAAACAAAATAACTCTGTTAATGCACAATCACCTAGTAAGTTACTCTGTTCTGGTGTCTAGCTGGGATTTAAAATTGCTTCACAATTACCTTAATATACTTCTATTCCCCACATGTGTAATATTGCTTGGACTTCTATTGGTTCCCAATTCCCACTGGTACACAATTCCCAATACTAAGAAAATAGAGTGAAACTCTGATAACTCATCACCCCAAGGGAAATAGCTTAAATGACTACTTGTGAGAGTTGACTAGTTATCCAAAGTACAGTATCTCAAAAATACAAAGTACTCAAATATCCGGGATAGTGAGTGAGTAACTAGTTATGTGGAGTTGATGACTTAGCCTAGGCGTGAGTTATCGAGTTTCACTGTACCAATTTAATAGACATAGAATAGTATTCTGTGTAATTATCTGACAATTGAAATAGAAGGTTGATTTTCATTATTTTGCTATCAATGAACTGTCCAGTGACTGGAGATGTCTCACACTGTTCTCCTGCCTGTATTTAGCTCTTCCAGCAACTACACTGCATTTACAAGCCGCTTAACTGAATTGAAATGGTGAAAGTAGTGCTTAATTGCTTGCCAGATATCCAGGATGATTTATGTTTTTGGGGGGCATTTAGGAGATTAAAGTATCAATTCTTAAGAGCTAATTTATCTGTTTAAAGAGTTCAGTTCTTTTGATACCCATTTTACGATTTTACAATCTCACTCCTTCCTTACAACACTGTTTTTCTCGTGACTCCTTTGTACTTCAATAGGCTGTAAGAAGTTTATGTCCTGTAGCTTAGTGGTTAGAGCACTCGCCTCGCAAGCGAAAGGACCTGGGTTCGATTCCTGGCAGGGCAAAACATTGGGCAAGTTTCCTTACTCCACACACCTCTGTTTATCTAGCAGTAAGTAGAAACCCGGTCATTAGTCGATTGGCAGATTGCTGTAGCGGTAATAATTCCTCCAAATTTAAAAAAAATGTAGTGACTCAATCCACTACTGTTTGTGAGACACTGCTGTGTGCAACTGGCTGCTATGTTTCACCCACAAAATATACTGTGAAGTGGCTTTGAAACGTCTCAAAAAAGTGATAAGGTGCTATATAAAATGCAAGGATTATTATTATTATTATGTCAAGTAGACTTTCTCCTGTGCAAAGCTCTCGTTCTTTACCAGAACAATGAAAGCAGTAAGTTTGCACCATTTGTCTGGAATGTTGGTCATGCTCCTCGCAGGCCGGATTACACCCACGTCAGTCAAAGAAAACTAGAATGATTTTTCTAACATTTCCCTGCCAGGTTATTTCCTGCAATTTCATCCCTTATTGTTTTTTTTCTTCTATTTGGATGTAAAGCACCATTTACCCTACAGTACTTTGTCCAAATGGCTTAGTGGCTATTATTCATCTGTGACTTTGACACTGAATACTGCAACTCTCTGGTCTGTATGGCTCAGGGCTGCACTGGACAGTGCCTTTATATAATGAGGGAGTTTACATTTATATAGTGCCATCCTCAGTTTTCACTGAGTGGAGGGAGTGGTTGGGTGTAGGAGGTCAAAAAGGAAAGGTGGAGTGAGGCCATCGAAGGATTCAAAGTTAAGAGTGAGGATTTTCAATTCGATCCAGTGGGGATGGAGTGCTGAGTGAGGATGTGGGTGTTAGGCTCATGGAGCCTGGTGTGGGAGAGGACACTGGCTGCAGAATTCTGGATAGTGGTGTGGAAGGAATTGGAAGTGTCAGGTATTTATAAGGTCCGGATGAATAGGTAACAAAGTGGAACAAACAGGTAAAGCTTCTTGAAAGTCCTGAAGGATATCTGGTTATTTTCTTCCTGTACGTACATTTGCTGTAATTGTCGGCATTCACTTGGAATGGGACAAACCCAAGTATTTATAATAAGCACATGCTACCTTTGACTGTACATTCAATGACAAATTCATTGACGAGCAGAAATAAACAAAAAAATTGCTTACAGACTAATAATACATGGAACTGTAGGTTTGGGTGAGGCGGAACTCACAGAATAGCTCGTATTGTATCCTATTTCAAACTTTAAAATGGAAGGTGTCTTGTCTTGGATTTGGGCAAAATCTTTTCATATGAATTTTCATGTAAATATGGATGCGAAAAGCCACTCATGTGATTCAGACCTTCCCCATGTTATTCCTAAGCCATGTCTTCAACAATCAATGCAAGGCACTGAAGAATGTCTCTGTGTGACAGTGGCTGCTATTGTCAAGACTGATGAAGCAGCATTGATATCTGGATACAGGCCCGCATTCAGATGCTGCTCTGTTGGTGCATAGCAGCACCATGAATAACAACTCACCAATTATTTACCAACATTCAGGAGGAGGAAGCTGAAAGAAGCAGTTTCAAGTAAAACGTATTACATCTAATTTACATAGAAAATCATTTCTTACTGTTTGCCACTATCTAGGTTCTGGGAATATATAAATGTCAGCTACTGTAAGTTGTGTTTTATAACTTCACAAAACCAACCCACGGAAAGACACAAAGCTGCGAGCAAAATACAACTTCAATCCAGCATCAAACAGACAACAACAATTTGCATTATATAGCGTCCTTCATGTAGGATAATGTCTCAGAGCTTTACACTGGCGGGATGGACACCGAGCAGTGAGAGAGGGGCGAAGGGGGAAGGAGCATTGTCCTACATATGCACATTATCTTGATTTTTACTGTGGTTGATGCAATCCTGTGATCAAACATTTTCACAGGAGCAGTCAGGAGCAGCTGAATAGCAATAAGGATCTTTGTATATCCTGGTAATAGCATCAAGCATCGATGCACAGCCCAATATTAACAGTGCCACCTATATATAGCTTAATGTTAATAATAACTATATAACAACAATCTTTACATATGATATAGTGCCTTATCATGCCATCAAAACATGTCAAAGCACCGAATCAGTATTCCCAGGATTGTAATTCCTATTTGAGACCCTCAAGTGTTCAATGGGGTGCTGCTGGAGTTTGACCATCTAATATCATGTAGCTTGTCATAGAGAGCACTGCCAGGCAAGCTGCTTGGTGCTTGTCCTGCTAGGGAGCTTCTAATCATAGTTATATTAATAGTTAGTACATCTATATATAACCTGATATTAGCAGTGATCATCTCTATATATATCCTAACATTAACAATACCTCTATATATGGCCTGATATTAACTGTGGACACCTCTATAGCTAGATCCTGAGTGACCCCATTGTTAAGGATCTTGCTAGAGAGCGAATTGGCTTTTAATGTGTACACTTCCATATGCAGAGGAAGTGTGTACGTATGTAATGTGTACACTTGCTGCTTTGGGAAGGCACCCGGTGTGTACCGTACGTGCACATGTTTACTGTACATCCATTTTTGGGACGCTCTTTGGTTACATCTTGAGCGTCCTTCTGTATCCTTACTTCAGTCAGTTTTGGGTGCCTCGTGGGCTAACCGGTGGGTGCTCCCTGAGCAGGTTGTGCCGGAGCGGCTCCTGCCGGGGTCAGGCCCCATCTGGCCTTTGCTGTGGTTGAGCTGAACTCCAGCTTGTTCCTCAGTATCTAATCCCAGGCCCTAGTGTGTGTGAGCCTGAGGCATGCCCTCACCGTCCTCTTGTTCTCCCAGAAGAACACCTGGTTTTGGGAATGCCAAAGGGCCTCCTTTACCAAGTTTATGATCCTCCAGGCACACTCGTTGTGGGTTTCGCTGTGAGCGCCCGGCAACAGGCCGTACAGTACCGAGTGCCGTGACAGCGGGTCCCAGGGACGAACTGCGAGAGAATCTATTCCATCTTTTTCCAAACAGCCTTTGCCAAATAACTCTTCAGGAAGAGGTGGTCCCTGTCTCCTGGCCTCTGCAGCCGGCCCGAGGGCAACGTGCTGCCTGGCCCAGACCTCAACCGTGCATGAAGGCCCTGAGTGAGAGGGTCCCTTTAATCGGCGGACAGGCCATGTCCTGATAGTTATTGTTCAGGGCCGCAGGCTATCTACCGATCGGGTCTGCCCTCTCCCTCTTTCAAACTGTTTCGACTACCAGCCGCTAGGACCACTCGGTGATTGCACGGGGGTCTGGGATGGTGTTCTTCAGAAATTTCTCAACATGGATAGATGGGTCGGCTCCAACTGTGTGGAACGTTTTGAGGCAGTTCTGCCAGACCCACCATTCTTAGCACCGGGTACAGGTAGAAACCCAGCACATTTGTTGCCGCGTAGTGGGGCTCTACAATGAGAAGAAAGTGCATGCACCACATGCTGACCGCCTGAGCAGGAGTATAAGGAATTGAAGCATTGAGCCTAGAGTGAAGTCCTTTTGGTTAAGATTTATTAGCACCACTACTGGTAGAGTGTAAGCCAGTGATGAACAATGGTATAGCAGATGACCGCAGTTTGCTCCGTGCTGAGTACTGATTAGAAAAGATAGCCTCAAACAATCTCAAGCTCCATCTATCTCAAACTGACTGCTCTCACAACTGATGCTAGGTGGATGATTCTTCCG